GACGTTGTGGGGCGCAGAGAGGCATGGAGGCCTTATGGGGAGCTGTGGGGTGTCTCAGACCAGCTTTCTCTCCATGCAAGCATTCAACTGCAGCTTATTTTCTGCAGTTCTTTGATGTTTTTTTTCTTTTCTGCGCATTACTGCTTTACAAATGCTAAGTCATGCGATGCTTTACTAGAAATCCAAGAATATAATTAATATGAAACTCATCGATTGCTGTTGGTTTTAAAAGAAGACGCTCAGAGGGATTTGCATTCATGTGGCCGCACTAAGGTCACAGTAAATCACCCGGAGATCGCAGCGTTGCCCCCCCTGGGTTCAGAAGGTTATTGTGTCTGGTCGTAGTGAGTTATAGTGCTGAGAAATTAGGAATGGGCTTAAAAGCCTCCATCAACTGCTCAGTGTTCAGTGCTGGAGAACTAAAGCTGCCTTCCGCGGTGTTGTTTCTACAAAAGCTGCGCTCAAATCTTCTGAGGACAGCTCTATCTTCTTGTGGGACCATATATGCCAGCGGTTACGCTGCTTGCGTTTTACAGCCCTTTCTAAGCAGCAGAAGACGCATGCTTGGCAGGGGTGGAAATAAATAATAAAAAAGACCATTTTACAGCAGGCAAAAAACAAAACAAAAACATGTAAGACACTAACAAGACTTATGTTCTTTTGTTTGTATTGGAGACTGCTACAAAACCCACCAGTGGGCACCAAGCGCGTCTCGTGCCTGCGTTATTACGCATGCTCGCTTTTCTGATCTTTTCTGTCGCTTCTCTGACTTCACCTCCTCTAATAAACCTGATTGCTTTCATCGCCCCTGTCCTACAGGCTACACGGGAAAAAAAACAGGCCAGGAGTGGTCTTTGGAGAGAAGAGAAGCGAAATCATTTAACAACTTACTGCAGAGTAATTAGGTCACATTACATCCAGTGTAATTTCAGAGTCATCAGTGCCGTTTATGTTACCTTACACTTAAATCCCTCGAGTCTAGACATAAAGAGCAGCGGCCTTTGGGCCTGTACTGTCCCACCACTTCCCCACTTTAACATTTTTGCTCTGTGTTCTGGTTAGAGTTTCTTTCCACTGAGTTGTGCGCAAACCCCCATAATCCAATAGCAAGTCCCCTGTTTATTCTGTATGACAGTCGCACTCGCTCAGTGTGATGTTGCATGTTTGGCCAGCTTGTTTGTTCATGCCACTTGTCAATAACACGTAATGGCGGCTCCTGAATGATAACTAAAGAGCTTTTACGCGACACAAATCGGGTTATGGCAAAGGTGTGTGCGCTTGGCAAAGCTTCCTGGTGCAAAAAAAGAACTTTATCACGTAAATTATATATATTTTTTTAAAAAAAATCTTATTTTTCCTAAGCTTTTGTAAGAAATAAAACGATTTTGCCGTCTCACTTCAGACGTCTGGCTCCTCTTTGGTGACCTGACACAATTAGAGATATATTTTTAGAAGAAAAAAAGATTTGTTTTAGCTTTCACTTATTGTTTGACTTATTCCACGAAATTGATTATATTACAATACCATCCAGTGCAAATTCTTTTCTCACCTCAAGGTTTAAATGAGGTTTCCTGACCACACTGTGTGTGTTTGGTGTGTGTTTCACAGACGCTTGCGGCCTGTCGGACGCTGCTCACATCGAGAGTCTGCAAGAGAAATCCCAGTGCGCCCTGGAGGAGTACGTGAGGAGCCAGTACCCCAACCAACCGAGCCGCTTTGGCAAGCTCCTGCTGCGGCTGCCCTCTCTACGCACCGTCTCCTCCTCGGTAATCGAGCAGCTGTTCTTCGTCCGCTTGGTAGGTAAAACTCCTATTGAAACCCTCATCAGGGATATGCTATTATCCGGGAGCAGCTTCAACTGGCCTTACATGTCCATCCAATGATCCTTAAGTGAAACAAAAAAGAAAGAGGAAAGAACAAAAAAAGGACCAAATCTCTGCACCCCATCCTCCTTCATGAAGACTTTATACATAGGACCTTTTTTTTCTGAGAAACTTGGAAGACAAAACTTTTTCCCCCCTCTGTCTTCTGGAACTGTGATGGAATACATTATGTACAGAGAAATATTGGAACTGGACTTGTGTAAATCCACCCTCATCTTCAAGAACAATACTCTTCATTTTGTAAAATACTAGTCTTTATTTTCCTTTTTTTGTAAAAAAAAAAATACAAATAAAATGAAAAACATCATATGCGCAGTAAGAAGATGAAGAAGAAAAAAAAAGAATCAACACTTAGCGGAAAAATGTTTCCAAGCAATTATAAGAATTGTCCTGTGTCTATGTACCTCTCTGTTTTGTATTTTTTCTGGTTCTAAACCAGACTTTCTGTGATTCTATACTAATAGTTTTTTATATAACCTTTTGCTTCTTATAATGAGTGCGATATATGTTGTCGAAGCTATGTTCTCCAAGAATTAAAATTGAAGTGAGAATTTAAAAAGAAAAGAAAAGAAACACTACAGACAAATAAAGAAATTTAGACAAATAAGAAACAGTCTAATCGCTGTGACAATATCAACACTGATGGTTGAACTCTTGTTTTTTTTTTTTTTTCACCCCACAATTGATATACGATGGACCTGCAACAGCAGCAAACTGACCTCCAGGACATTTTTAATGACATTTTTAAACTCCAGGAACGTCTGGGGCGCCTTTTCCAACCCCCCCGCCCACCTCCTCCCTTGTGCGGGGGCAACGAGTGCGTGTGGAGTGTCGATCATCGAGTCAAAGAGGAGAGACCTGAAAAATCAAACAAAGAATAAAAAAGCAAAGAAAAAAAAAGAAAAAAGCACTTTTAATATATCATTTCAAATACATTTTGTTTCGTCTTGGGGGGTGGGGGGCAGGGAGAAATCATTGTTTTTTTGAATTTTATTGGTTGTTGCCTTCGATTTGCTTACTCCATGATGCAGCTTTTTTCCCCCACCCCCCTTTTATTTTCTTTTTGCAGAAAGGTCGGTTGATGAAGTTGTGTGATGGTGACTGTACTATTAAAAACAACAACAACAACAAAATACAAAAAAAGGCAATGATGTCTCTTTCTCAAGCGTTTTCCTGGGCAGCCGGAGTCAAACCGTCAGAGGGGGGATCTGTTGCCTTTTTTGGGGAGCGGTGGCACAAGAAAAGCGCAAAAACCTACTTAATTCAAAATAGAGTCGTGGGGGGGGGGGGGGGGTGAAACGAGTTGTAACACGGGATTAACAATTACACACTGTATTGTATTTAAAAAGACTGTCTGACGTGAGTGACATTGCGGACACAAAGAAGGGGAGACGATACGTGAGGAACTACAGCAGCGCGCACTCTGCCAGCCTGTGGGCGCATTAATGTTTCATATTTTTCCCAGACAGAAAAGGGGGAAGCCTGCGCGCCACACAGAGCCACCTTTAGCCTTCCTCCGGTGGCTTAATCAAGGTGATTCTCCACAAGCCAAACATCCACCCCTTCCCTTCTTTCTCTCCATTCATAAAAAAACACAGCCTTGATGGCGCACTGCATTGCTCAGTATTGATGTGGGCGTCATTTTTTTTTGGCAAAAGGGTTAGGCCCCGCTGCAAAGCTGCTGTGATATGCGTGATCAATCTGGAAAATGTATTTTACAGCATGTAAGCCAGTCGATAGGAACACCGAGTGTGATGCATTGTGAGGGAATGGAGAAAGAGAGAGGGAGAGAGAGGGAGAGAGACCCAAGCAGTGTTGAGACAAATGAGAGGAAAAACGTGTTAGAAGAAAGTCAAGTGTGTGAGAGAGTGTGTGAGGAAGAGAGGGAGGGAAGAAGGGAGGAAAAAAAAGATGTGGCCTTGGTTTGCTTGATGCGTTCAGAGTGTAATAAGTTCTCAATGTGTTAGATGGCTTAGACTGAGCTTCTGCCACTGCAGTGGTCTATATCTGCTTTTTGTCTCTATTTGTTCCCCCAAATGACAAAACCAGCTCAGTTATTTAACTTTAGCTTCTCTCACTGACAGGACTTTGTTACAGTCACACTGAAAAAGAGCAAAATACAGGCTAGTATTCAAAAAAACGGTAGATGTTTGAAATAGTATTTGGTTTGCCTGCTAATCACCCCCCCCTCCTCCTCCTCCTCCTCATCATCATCATCATCATCATCAGACATGTTGCTTCTCTGCCATTTTGCCCACGTCTTCATCTTTGGGCTGTCATTGTTTGAAGAAGAACAGGAGAGGATTGCATTGCTCCAGCACGTTAAATATGGCTGATTTTAACGTAACATTATTGTTAGTTACTATATAAAATGACATGATCATCGTTTGTGTTTATTTATTTTTACTTGTTTATTTACGTATTATTAGAGCAAACAAAATATTTGCTTTTATTAAAACGCTGTGCTTCAGGATTTTTAAATTCTCTCACAAATTTAGGTCTAATGTGTGAGCTTCAAATCGACTTGGACTGCCTCATATACCTGAAAATGTTGGGAAGAACTGGAAAAGGCATAAATGTTAGTATTTGTTGCTGTTTTTGGATCGTTGTTTCCTGCTTGTGAATGTGATCATCCTCCCCGACCTTTAGGTCAGGTGGAAAATAATGAGCTGCTGGAGCTTTTTTTCCTCGCTGCTTTCTCCTGCAGGCAGAATGTCCTGAGCCTCAACATAAAATAATAATGATAATAATGAACTTTAGCAGAATGTAAATAGAGAAAAAAATAAGCTAATTTTTACCTTAAAATTACGCACGATTAAAACACTGCCGGAAGTATTTACATGCTGGAATTGTTTTATTTTATATGATCAAAAAATAAATACTATTTTAGGAGTATAAGAAATATTAAAGAAATTATATAGATTAGGTTTTCTTTTGCTAAAGTCCAGGTGGGGCTTTTTGTGTCTTATTTGGACTAAATCGTTTGTTGGGTTATTAAAAGCAGCTTTTTTCAGCTGCTTGTCTCCTCATAATGAATTCAGAATCCCTCCAGAGTAACTATCTTTTATCCTCTTGCTGAGAGCATTCTGTTATACAATTGTTACACTGCGGGCTATATAAAGCAGTAGTTCAAAAAAAACACAGATGAAATGGTGGCATGTGTTCCTAATTAACGTTTCAGTATAGGCAATACAAGCAAAACACACGAGGACTCGAGGAAAAGTGGTAATTTGTATTTAGACTGTTGGATTTTCCTCTTGACAGAGGCTTAAATTATTATATTACGCAACGTTTCAAATGACTGTTGCGCTGTAAGCAACTTTATGTTTTATCACCGTTTTGTTAATAGTTTATTATCTTGGTTTTCAATTATTAAATTTAAAAAGAGGAGGCAAAATCGAGCTTGTCAAAGTCTCTGGCTGCGGTGGGTCAGGGAGATGGATATAGGCTCCGATTGTGTCTGTAATTTCGGAAACTCTGGTTACCAAAGTGTTACTCCGAAATGAGTTCAACAACCATTTACCTTTGTCTGGTTTCATTCATCAAACCGCAAGTGGAGGACTCCTAACACGGGGGGCTATTTGTTTGCTTTACACAAGCAGCTGGGTGCGATTTCACGTTTGAGATATCTGTCTGAAAGCGAAACATTTATTATCCTAAGTTGTCAGTGAGCCTTTCCACCCCTAAAAAAAATCTCAATGTAAAGAGAGTGCTGCAGCGTTCCGCAGCGGTGGAAAATGTCCTATACTGGCGTCACACGTCACTACATTTCACTTATAGCCGAGCTTTTATTTATTTACTTTTTTATTTATTTATTTGTCTCCTTGGTCACATTTGACAAAATGCTGTTGTTTGAGACAATCACAATTTCCAAACAGCGGCTCCTTGTATGAATGGGAGCCTTCTCTGAAGCATGACACGGCTTATTTCTCATGTTGCCTTGTGCGTAAAAGGGATGACAAACACACACGCGGACGCACGCACACGGGCAAGGACAACAAGTGCGTCGCCGTGTCAGTGATATCTCATCCACCCAAGCTTGCAAAGATGGCTGGGAAAGGGAACGCACAGTGAGCACTAATGTCCAAAAAGGGAACTGGGTTTCTGAGGGGATGTGTGGCACATTTACGCAACTACCCACGGTGGCTTGTTCTGCTGGTTCTGCAGAGTCGACGGAGAGGCGTATTAGTAACTGCTCTGAGATCTGTCCGCAGACCACACAGGCAACCTTTAAGCCATGGATCAAATCCAACTCCTAAGCCTAGACTGTGAATGTAACACAAGTGGGGGGACGCCTCCCTGCTTACGCGCACGATGGTCATAACTGTGCGTAAAATGGTGTTGGTGGAGGTTTTTGTGTGTGTGTGTGTGTGGTTTATAATTTCTGCGTGCGGGCACGTTCACGGCCGAGCTCGTGCGCGAAAGCATGTATTCATCATGATGTGCTCGCGCATGCTGTCTGAGAAAGAAAAGAGAGAGAGAAAGAGAGAGAGAGATGATTGTGAGAAAGGCTGGATCGCTGTGTAAGCGGATCTCTTTGTGTTGATTTAGGAAGACGTTTGCTGTATATAACGTTCAAGGCTGATAATATCATTGCCTAGCCAGATAAATAAAGCATTGGCCAAAACCATCGGGTCAGCTATCGATCCGTTTTTTTTTTCCTCCCTGAGAGAGTGAGAAGGCGGGGTTGGACAGGAGAAGGAGGAGGAGGAGGAGGAGAGAACTGAGAAAAAAAAAGGAGAGAAAAGGGGGTGGAGGGTGGTGAGTGGGGGGGCCTCACTCATTAGCATTCCACAGCCATGGACTAAACGCTGACAACTAACAGAGATATCCAGCTCTACACCACTGCATGCACCCCACCACCACCTCCCTCCCCTCTTTTGTCTCCCCTCCACCCCACCCCTCCGGCCCTTCATTTCCAGCGGACAGATCTCTCGTCACAGCCAGCCACATTTGTATTAATGCCCTCTTCACTCCTTTTGCACGAATGGACCCTTTGCACGAGGGAGAGAGAGAGAGAGAGAGAGAGAGAGAGAGAGAGAGAGAGAGAGAGAGAGAGAGAGAGAGAGGGGGGGGGGGGAGAGAGAGGGGGGGAGGGGGGGGGGGA